TATAGCATTATCCAAAATATTAAAGTAAACTACATGGAAACTATTGCTTCCAAAAGTGATTGCCAACATTGAGATGTACAAAATGGCATCAGAGATTTTGGGGAAAATTGATGTCCTTGATGGAATTTCATTCCTTAAGTGCTCAATCAAAATGATTAAGGAGGAAACTATAAGAAAACTCTTTAAGAACTGAGGTTTCTTCTTGGCAGTGATGATAGTATACAAAAAGAAGCAGTTATGGAGCCTTATCATATTATTCAGATTCAAGGTGCAAAAAATGACATTTATAGTGGTGTTTCAGAAAATAGGGTCACATCTTACATTGATACAGCAAAGAAATTGCCCCAGAAATATATAAATGATATAAACCTGCAATAAACTGTGAACTCACAATCTAAAGATGACAACAATGAAGATGATGAAGACGTACCATTGGAAGAGCCTGAGCATTTAAGTCAAACACAGGTTTTAAGCTATATAAAGACTTTGAAGGATTTGGAAAAGTTAAAGGAGACCAAGAGTTCTTTCAATAAAGACTGTGGTCTTAGAAAATTGTTTCAATAATTTTATCAAAAAACCAAAATAAATTAAATCATTGACATTAGGTTTTTTAAAATTATTATTAAAAAGTGAATTTCACCCATATCTTTAAATAGTATATGCACATCTCACTGATGTCAAGTCGATCCCAACTCATAGGGACCCCTTCTTGGTTTCCGAGGCAGTATCTCTATGGAAGTAGATTGCCCAGTCTTCACCAAATTTCAGTAAGCATGCAAATCATAAAAAAAATCATTTAGTTTTCTTTTCTAGTCCTATACAATCAGAAAGAACACATTCTGTGTGTTTATGAGCTAGGATTCTTAACAGAGAATGATGGAAAAGTGGTAATACTGCACCCTGCCAAAGGCAGAAACTTGCAAGATCCAGAAAAACAGGGCTGTTCCCCTGAGTTCCAGCTCTCAAAGGTTTCACTGTATAAATGACTTTACAGATATCATTTCTGGCAAGAGACTGAACTAAACAGACAAAGACAAGGAACTTTATCTGGACCATCATTGTCGCGTCTCTTCATCCTATCACAAATGGATGGCCTGGCATGCAGTGGAGAGTGTCCTGAGAGATTGTCAGTGTTTAACTGTCCAACAGGACAAGTTGTCTCTCATTGTTCACTTGTTGTAGGATTAGTATTAGTCAACTTTGCTGAATTATTAATGGTGTAAAGGCTGAAAACTTATTTATCCAAATTCATGCAGATTAAGAGGTTGAGGGTAGTGAGACAAATGAGAATGAAGTCTGGATCACGTCCTGGCTATCCCTACTCACCTGTACTCGTTCATTATCTTAGTCTGCTTACAGCTCTGGGCCAAGGTGGGTTCTTGCCCTGTAATGTAAAGCCTTGTGAACAATACCAAATACATAACAAATATGTAAATAAATAAATAAAAATCTATTGTCATTGAAATTCATGTGCTCCTGAGAAATGTTTCAGAAATACATGATTTGCTTTGCTCTGCATATGGATGCAACAGTTATTTGTTCATTTATTAGCATGATTGGGTGACTAACCTCATTTCATGCCCTAAAGTACACACAGTAAAATCTTTTAGGAATGCTGTTGTTCTGAATGGATAGCTGTAATCTAAAATTTCATACCACGTTTGAGTTGCTTTGTAATATTAAAACCATGCTTCATTTTCTTTAGGTCCTGAGAGGTAATGATAACTTGGGTGATGGCTGCTCTCAGAAGCTGGCGATTGCGACGTACCTCCGTTTTCTCTTGCTGGTCCTGATTCCATGTATCTGTGCTCTCATCATCCTGCTGGTGATCCTACTTTCCTTTCTTGGTGGGTGATGTCACTGTTAAAGAAAACAGGTTAAAATTAAAATGAACATGATTTGTAAGGCTGAATTCTACCTAGTTCTTATTTTCCTATAATGTCAACTAAATAAGAGGGTTATTTGCTGACTATCTGATACAAACCTGGAATCTCAGTGAGTATAATTACTTTAATAGCTATTATTACTAATGTTAATTAATGGATTAATGAATTTTAAAAAAATTATTGAGTGATTACTAAATAGCAGGCATTGTGAAAGTTTTCATCGAAAAATCAAAACTAATTAAATCATTGAGATTCATTTTATTATTATTATTTTTATTAAAAAGTGAATTTTACCCATATCTTTAAATAGTATATGCACATCTCACTGCTGTCAAGTTAATGCTCAAAGGTGTTAAATTAGTTCTTTGTTAAGAGCTTACAGTTGAGAAGAAGAGACAATTATCACACAAGGAAACACATGTTGATGATTCAGATATGTACTAGATTCTTTGGGGGCAGCCAAAGGAAGATGCACAGAGGAGTTAACATTTTAACCCTTGGAACTAAGTTAATAGAAATTCAGGTTAGAAGGTAATGCTGCAGAGGTCACATTTGGCAGAAAAAATAACAAGTGCAAAAGTATAACCTCATGAAAGATGGAGATGGATTTAGGAAACTGGGACAAAATTTGGTGGTGGTGAAAAATGCAGCTAGATTGATAGATAAAGTCCAAGTAACACAGGGCCTGCTTGTCATACTAAAGGGTTTGGGCTTCAGCCTCTTCACTGGTAGTTTTCAGACTATTCCATGGAGCTCAAGGTTCTGAAGAGGAGACTCAAGGATTGCACAGATGTTTGCTTTGATTTTTATTTTAAAAATAGATCTTAAACACACACACCAGCTAAGTATTAGGCACCAAATTTTAACAAGTGTAGACCAGCAATTAAATAATTGTGCTGAAAGTTAGTTTATTTGCATATGAATCTTGCTGTCCTTTTTGAAATAGTCAATACTTAAGTTTGAAAGGTCAGAGAAAATAATATTACCATTAGTAGCTACTTATTGATAGAAATCAGGATCTCTCTGAACCTGTGCAATCAAATACATAGAGAAATAAATAGCAAAGTGATGCTGACCTAATTGTATTGCTAATGATTTTGAAATTTTTTATTTCACCAAAACTACCTGTTATTCTCTTATTGATGGTTAAGATCTTGTCTGATATTTATTTGGCAATCACTGCTATGAATGGAGGAGCTCTGGTAGTGTAGTGCCTAAGGCACTTAACTGCTAACAAGAAGGTTGGAGGTTCAAACGCACCAGCCACTCCTTGGAAGGAAGGTTGGGCAATCTACTTCCATAGTAATACTGTCTCGGAAACCCACAGAGGGGTCGCTATGAGTCAGGTTTGACTCAACTGGACATAACAACAACAACAAGCTATAAATGGGGAATTACCACTGAAGGATTTCTTCAAAGTGGGAGAAATCTGATCTCATTTGAATTAGGAAAAGATAATAGGTCTGGACGCATTGTAGAGGATTGGATACAGAAAGAAATGAAGACAGGGACATCAGTTTGGGGTTCTGGCCATAGTTCAAGTAAAAGATGATGAGAGCATGAATTAAAGCATTTGCTGGATTTAAATAAACAGGAATCATGACCACACACATTTTGGTGTGAAATAGAGGAAGGAGTAGAAGTTGATTCCTGAATTCTGGCTTAGGTAACTGAGTTGGTTTTGGTGCTTTCTTTTAATGCAGTAAGTAAAAGTAGAGGGAGTCTCTGGGTGGGGCAAACATAATGATCTTGGTTGCTAGCTGAAAGGTTAGAAGTTCAAATCTTCCTCAAGCTTCTTGGAAGAAAGGCCTGGAGATCTACTTCTGAAAAATCAGCCATTGATAGCCCTGTGGAACACAGCTCTACTCTAACACATATAGGTCACCATACGTTGGAATTGACTTGATGGCAACTGGTTTTAGTGGAGGAGAGTGATGCAGGTTGATGAAGAGCAGATAGTAAGTTTGTTGTGGGCATGTTAAGGTAGATATACTTTTAGGAAAACCAAATACAGTGGAATAATATTTCACCTGTGTTAATCTTGCACAAATTCAGTAGTGCAGGTTTGGCAAAGAAATGGAGAAATATAAGAACTCCAACATGTTGAATTCCTAAAAGAATGTCAAGGACCATTTTGACTATATAAATTTCTGCTTCTGTGCTGAGTTTAGAGCCAAACTCCCACCCTGCTATTACAGGTCTGAAGCTAGAAGGATCCAGAAAGGAAGAGAGTCCTGGCTTATAGTTATGAATCTGGAGTTTAATTGGTAGTTGAAAGAGTAAGGATCAGTAACCTATGTAGAGAAATTATGTTGATTAAAAGTTGAGGGCAAAGTCCAGGAGGATGCTAGTATTTAAAGAGTAGTTGGAAGAAAGAAGAAATAAAGAGTCACAGGAAGAACAGTAAAAAAGGAAGGAAAGGAATCCAGAAATGGTGGGTTTTACAGAAGCCAAGACAAGACAGGCACATCAGAGGTCAGAGGGTGCGGTGTAGTAAATTACACAGTATGGCTTTTCTAACCACAGTCTTTGTAAACTCTGTGGTGGAATTTGCCATGAGCAACTGAGTAGCTCCTGATTGTTAAAGTTATCCATGTGGTGTATTTCTGTTGGAGCAGCACAAAGCAATCTTCTGGGAAGTTCGCTCTCTCTCAGGTGTATAGAATTCTGATGTTAGGACTGGTTAATTTTACTACCCTGCCAGGCTTAGAATGAGTCCTCCTAGAGGCAGAAGGAGTCTCTCTGACTGCCAGCTGAGAAAGATGTGCTGCTGAGAGGGACATCTGAGAGAGATGTGCTGCTGAGAGAGAGATGAACTGCTGAGAGAGATGTGCTATTGAGAGAGACTGAGAGACTACTGGCTGACAGATGGCTGGTTGAGAGAGATGGAGCATGTTTCTGTACTTGAATTGTAGCCTGTTGCTTCCCTAATAAACCCCATAATCAGTGAGTTCTGTGTGGTCACTGCAGCAAATTATTGAACCCAGCAGAAAGGTGATATGTGCCATGGGAGGAACAGTTGGTGTCAAGGTTAGTAAGAGGGTTGGAGGGTCATGGCATGTTTGGCCTCATAGGAGCAGGCATAGGATTCTGTCCTCCTCTTGTATAGTTAGAGAAGGTTAGAAGATGCTGCCTCCTTGCCCCTTGTGCAGAGGGTGACCAAGTAAGAGAAGGACAGAGAAAGTGCTGGAACCCAGGAAGCCTGAGGGTTTTCTATTGAACTTTTAGACTCTGTACTCACTGTGGCACCAACTATGTCAGATTATTGTTAGCTGTCATTGAGTCATCCTCCAACACATGATGATAGTGACCCATAAAATGGAACAAAATGCTGTATTTTTGATCCTGTGCCATCTCCATGAGTGGTTGTGGATTGGACCATTATCATCCACAGTTTTCATTGGCTCATTTTCAGAGCCCATGAAGCTCGACTGCCAGGCCTTTCTGTCTAGTACTCCTTAGTCTGGAAATTCTGATGAAACACGGTCAGCATCATGACAACATGCAGACCTCCACAGAGTTGGGTTGTGGGTGTGCATGAGGTGCATTGGCTAGGAATAGAAGCCAGGTTCCCTGGGTGAAAGGTGAGAATTCTACCACTGAACCAATGCTTCCCCTGAAACTCACCTGTACCTTCATTTCTTCCAAGAGTTGATAGCTCTCAAGAGGCTGCCTTATTTTGTTTCTTCTCCAGGGCCTTCTGGTAGTTGTGGGTTTTTTTTTTTTTTTTTTTTTGTATTTTGTCCAGAATTTATAGTTGTTACTATAAATTAAGCAAGAGCTTACTCAACCATGTTGTTAAGTGTGATTTGTAAAAGTTCAGTTCTCATAATACCATGCCCCGTGGCTCACACACATTATAGAATATTTCTTTTCATTCTCAGAGTCTAATGCTAATATGAATTTAAAACACACTATTATTAAGTTCCTTGATACTTAGAGGCTTCTGAGCAGAGGAGATGTTATTAAAACAGTGCTTTCAAAGGATTCATTTTATCACATAAGTGTGGGATTAGGGAGGCTACCAATTTGTAACCATTTGTAAGTACTCTTTTGCCTTCTATGTAGGCAACCTTTAAAAAGTGGAATTTCCCCACACATCTTCTTCAAAAGCATTCTTTTTGTAGATTTGCACCAGCTGTTTCATATAGACATAGTAAAGCAGTATCTGCCCAAATAGACATTTCCTTTTTGTATAACTGAGATGTTTATTGTTATAATGAGCTATAAAGGCATTTTACATCTTTGTTTAAAAGCTCCATTACATTCTGCTTACTTTTAAGAATGTTTTGTTTGATTTGAGTTTATAACTCCATGCTCTTTCACAAATTTGTATTTAGTGCTGGGTACATAACGATTGCCAAAGGATGCTGGTTGCCAATTGTGTGCGAATAACAGAAGCTCCAGCTTCAAAAGGCAAAGAGATAATAGTGAGAAGATTATTGATTATGAGAAGATAATATAAGCCCTATGCTAACACACACAGATGTACTCTGTGTCTCTAATTTTGTCTGTTTTGACTGCTATCATGTATGAAGTCAGCATGGTAAAAATATTTCTAAAGATAAGAGAGTTGGACTTCTTGAGTAATATTTTAGCACTAAACTATAAAAGAAAGCAGTAGCAATTGTTTCCTCCTCCCCCAAGCTGAAGCTGGTTGGGTTTAGTTTTGTATTACTAAACTGGGCAGATAGCTTGAGCTTTCCATATAGTTGCAAAGATTTGGACTCTAAAAGAAGGATTCAGATTTTTTAACAAAGTTGAAAAGCCTACTCAAAAGTGAGAAAGATACAACATTGTACCTAGGTATTATTTCTTTAGTTATAGTATAATAATGATAGGCCTTATGACAGAGAAGAGAGAAGATGAAGCTTGACATAAAAGGTCTGGGTTTAGGGTCACACTCTTCCATGTATGAGATATATGACTTTAGGTAAAATACTTCATCTGTGAGACTGGGG